ACCGCACATTCTGTGTGATGGTTAGCCATACTACTTAACTGACCAGACTTCCGTTGACGTGTCTGGGAAGTACAACGCACTGATTGTGAGTTGAATGCCTATACCGTTGCTCATAATATACAGTAACACAAATCCTGCCATTTCAGCCGCTATCACCATAACCCATCCTACTTTCTGCTTCAATAAATAACAGAGAAGGTGTGGGTGAAAAATTCATTTAAGGAGTGGAACAATATATACGTAAGTAGCTATTAGGTACCCAGCAGTTCATGAGGTTACTGGAGATTAATCCTGTAGGTCGCGCTCCTCATAAGCTCTGGTGTACGTATCTAGCAGCAGTCTGTGTGCTTTTTCCGCGTTTGACTGGACCAGTAACTGCATTTCATACATCATTGCAGAGGTGAGCATTTGCAGTTCTTCACTGTCCACAATAACCTGGTTACGTTCAGTATGCATGTGGTTATAGCTTCGCAACCATCTTGTGGAGTGACAGAACACATCTACAATGAGGTTAATTGACGTCTCAGAAGACTTACCGAAATCACGAGACAGAAATCTGTGCACATGAACCAAATGACTGCAGGGCATAAGCATGCAGTGCTGATGTAGCAGGAACATTTACAGTCATATCTGTCAACCACGTGGGACTTCTGTCCTTCTTGAAAGACTATGTACGCTCCTGTAGGTTCAACCACCTGCATATCTCTATGCGCCAGGATACTTTTGTACACAATGTACTGCTTAATTCTTCAGAGGTTATGTAGTCCGTCTGTAATCACGGAGGTAAGGACAAAGGACTTATATCAGAATGCATGTAGCAGTGCAAACTGTGATTTCCCTCATTGGCCTTCCTGCAATATAGTTCCATGGAACATTTCCAGATTTTGCGAGTGCGTAACTCCAGAGGAAAACACTTACGCAAATGTCCCTTCAGGTGCATATAGCAGCACTCAACTTTGTTGTTTATTTCGTTACCTAGGGTAATAATGTCCTGCACGAAGCATGAAGCCCACGTTTACCGACCGGCCCAAAGATTTACTTCCATGTAAGCAAATGCTGCCGGACGTTCTGTTGTCACAGATAAATTTGATTCATTAAGTCTAGGGAATTGTTGTATATCAGTGACGATACCTGTCGCGGTCACGAGTGTACACCATTTCCCGGAACGTAAGTTTACATTCCGGATTACGAAACCGCAAGGTATTCAAATTACATAATTGAACGAGCGTATAACGTGAAAAGCACATAAGACAATGGAACGGTATGGGAGCTGACTGCTAATAGCTCCCTGCTCCACTGCACTATTGTCGACAACAAACGCCAACGGTTCTTGGTGCTTCAACCATGATGGCCTTAAAAGACCTCAACGCGTTCTCCACGTCCATCAGGCGTTCTTGGTGAGTTAAGCTATACATCACAGGGAAGCTGGGGTAGATGCCACCAGTGATAACCAGTTGATAAAGCGGGTGGCTAAAACACGGAATTATTAACCTTAGCTAAATACACTTCCTCAGAGGTGTTGCATATAGAATCCATTACAACTTCCGGAAACTTCTTGTATTTTTTTCATTTCCCTAGTTGCAAAACCAAGCATCTTGACTCTTCGATCTCAGTCCAGTAGGTACTACACCAGCCTTGTCTCTCGGATTTCTGAAATCAGTGAATCTATTGCACGAATTCCTAAACACATGAAGTAAACATAGCACATTATTCGGGTATACAAGCTCCCGGAAATTTCTATGGTCATCGTACGTCATCAGCTTACCGAACCCAATGTCAACCATGTCAAAAATTCGATTCAGTGGTGCATTGCGTTCGATAAGCTGCAGACTCCTCATTTGCTCGTCACCACTAAGTCTTCGAACACGTGGTTCCACAGACATCAGCGACTCTGACGACGAGTTGTGGTTGTGCACAGTGTTAACAGGTTCCAAAACCTCCTAACGCACGAAATTCAGTTTAACTCAGAGGGTGAACGGGCAACCCAACAGCTTAGATCCGTAAAGCGTATGTTATGGCTTCTATTACAGCACTCACTGACTTCTGGCCTTCTCCGCCGACCAACATGGCAACGAAAAACGACATACCGGTACTTGTACGCTTGGTCTACATTGTTGTCCTCGTCCCTGTTTGGGTGGCAATCACGAATCATATTCAGACTGTTAGTTTCCTTTGGCATTTAATGATGATCCCATTGATTAAACAACTCACACTTTCAAATCGTTTAATGCACGCTTCAAACTTTGGCCATATTTATAAGTTTCTGTTCATGACAAGTTGTCTGAATTCAGCTGCCAAATTTACTGGTCCAACATCCGACCTGCAGGACATTTTAATGTTGCCTTAAAAATCAAGTTTGTTACAAAAACGCATCTGTTCAGCTCAAGAACGAAGCCTCGAAGTTTCCAAAATTAGAAGATAGCGTTTTTTCTTTCATAAGGACTATATCGCGCTGACCAATCAGAAAACGACAATTATCGCTTTGTCTCGCTCGCGCGAAATACAATCACGTCCGGCGATTGGCACGGGTGTTACTTAAAGCTATCCCTGACTTGATTTGGGAAAACGCCTGTTTTCTGTTGGCATTTCCCACCTTTTTCTAAACTGTGAAACGCAGTTAATCATTTCGTCCTTCTTCTTACGGGCTAATTGCTGGACAACAGCTTGCTGCGCCATACGTCTTTATTTGAGAAATTGCAACTGAAGTGTTATTTTATTTGTGAAGGAAGACGGTCAAGAAGAAAGGATGGTAATTGGGCCTTTAAATTATTATGACGAAGAATTTATATTGTAATGTTGACCTGAAGTCAACCTGTCAATCATAGTAAATAAAGTTTAGAAGGAAACAAAGAACAGCCGTCCTTTCGGCTAAATAAACAGAATGAATGAGAAAAGTTGGTAAATGAATAGAAAATTTGGCTAGAATGGGGACATTGTCTCCAGAGGGCGTTAAAAGAGGAGTAAAGGGTAAAGGTATATTTTCAGGCCACAGTGAGGAATTAAAGTTGACACTTAAGGGGAAATGATGTGGAGATCAAGTGTAAAATCCGGAAAGTAAATATACATATGTTTTCTTTTTCTGTTTTTCACCCCTTCAACGCATAAGAGTTTAAGTTGAAAGCTATTTAAAGTGGGAAGGGCAGACGAAAAAGGGAAGGACTGTAATAGGGGAAAATCGGTTTCTTTTCCCCACGCATGTCACTTTATTTTACCACTGAGCTTCCCCTTGTTATCTATTTATTTGCCCCTTTTTGGTCTGTATGATATTGGATGTTTTTCTGTTTTAAAGCAGGTTGGCTCGTGCAAGACAGATGAAAACTGCTTTACCAGGTGGGTAGGGAGATGCGCTACACCGAAGATCTGGGTGCCTCCACAAGACGTAAAAGCTTGCACAAGAAAATCAGTTGTTTTCACAAGCTTGAAAAGAAGTCGAGTGTTGTAAAGTGAACGTGAAGTACGCTTCCTTTTACTTTTCAGATTAATACATGAAGTTATACTTAGCAGTAGACGGTTCGTTACTGTTGTATGTCTGGTTAAATGGAGGCAGGTGGAGGCAGTCAATGTCAATGAACTTCTGCTTTTGAAACTTCGTTCAGAAGGAAGTTATGCTGAAACCGTATTTTTGAATGAATTCACGCTAAATATATGCGCATGTTATTACTTTCTCCTGTTGTGTTATAATAGATAGGGAATTTTCTATTATCGATGGAAACCTAGGGAACTGAAGCCAGAATAAGTCTTCGAGGAGTGATGGGATCCACACAAGAGTGCTCTACTATCAAGCCTATCCAGATGCTCGCTTCCGGTATGCGTGTTACGCTGTGATTGTAAACGGGTGGATGTTGTCCCAACATATAAAGGTTGAAACAAACTATTTTCCTCTAAATACGGATGAATCTGCCTAATATCTTCAGCGGTGAAGATCATGGTGAGAGTAGTAAAGGACTTACCTCTTGATTACTTATTTAGCAATTAAATCTTAAAGTACCACCAACATGGCTTTATGCTCAGCAAGTCTTTTAGCTTCTAATAGCTGGAATCTTCCTGTTCATCAGAAGACGCCCACTCACATTACTTTACTTGCCTCAGAGCTTCCATTATTGTTCCAATACTATTTCCTGCTTTCATCAGCGATCAACCGGGGTCTCTTGACTGCCTTTTACCATTCTTCATCTGCGCCAAAATAATCGCATACTACCACTAATCCTGCCTTTCTACATGAAGTATGTGGTGTGCCCTAAGGTAGACATTCACAGTAAGATGATTATTACGTAGACGTAATTTTATATAAAAATGGCTGCGGATACATACTCATGCTTGCGGTACTCACGCATAATATCATTCACCGATTCCCACTTCTCAAATGCACATAGTTAGTGCAAGTAACCTACGTTCATCGTAAAATACAACAGTTATATACTCCCTGAAATTCACTGACTGCTTCTTCAACAGCTTTGCAGCTGAAGAACGACTTCGACAACATGACTTCCTAGAATGCTCCAGTTATGTCTACTGAGACTGCAGCATTTTCAGAAGCTTGGGATATCCTACTTAAAAATGCAGATTAATCATTAAATAACGAAAGGAAAATCCTGTAGCAAGCATATTATAGGGGAATTGACAATTCTCAGTGCACAATAATGGTACAAAACCAACTGGTGCTCAACGAAAGTCAGAAACATACGGGATCACGGCCACTGTTACGTATCTTGATATTTACTTCCTAAAAAAACAAAAAAATCAACCACTTGTGTCTAAAAGTTAGTTGTTGGCAATATAAATCTCTTACAACAAAATATCCCAGTATTTGGAGCATATTACATACACTTCAGCCAATCCCATATAGCAAACTACCTGAGCACGATTAGATATGAGAAACCCGTTTCACTTATGTAGCTCAAGGTCGCTTGGAAACAGAAGCCAGCCAAATTCGATTTGGGGATAACTTATTGTCACACTGATTGGCACTCATCTGCTTGTCATCTTAAGTTATCTGTTTAATGATTGCTAAGTGCTATGGCTTACAGGTAAACATTCACATTTTTAAATTTACTCTCGAAGCTGTCATAACCGCCTTTGAATTAGATAAGACCCGCCTAAAATACAAAGTGATCTTATTATTAGTGAATATTAATATTTAAATGAGGATTCTGATTTAAATGTTCTTTGGTCACAATGAACTTTATTGTGACCAAAGAGCGTTCATGTTTGATTTATCACACTTTCCAGCTATGCTTATGTCATGGATTGTAATCTCATAGATTTAAGTAGGTGACGCAGACCTTCTGGAAGGAGTTCAGTAGGCAGCCACCTGTATGATCCCTGAGATGGCTGGCCTCACCTATGAAGATCGACTCAAGGAGCTGAACCTCTTCACTTTATCCCATCACAGATAGAGGGGAGACCCAATCATGTTGTACAGGATTCTAAGAAATGACTTCGGACCTGATCTATCTTCTCTTTTCTTTCCAACTAGGTCGGAACACCTCAGAGAACAAAGTAGGAGGCTACAAAAGCAAAGAATGAACATAGCCTCCGCAGAGTATTGGTTCTCGAGAGGAGTAATCAAAGCCCGGAACCGACTCCCAGAAGAAGTGTTGTCCGCATCATATACTGGCTCGTCCGAAAGGGGATTGGAAAGTACAGAAATCTAGTGGAAAGGGATTGATGTAGGCTCCTGGCCTCCTATCCTCAAGCAACAAATCTGGATCTGAATGAACTCATATTTTTTGGATCTTGGACCTGAGTTGTTTGTCACTTTTTTTCAATATTAGGACACCTTATTTCTCGTATAAGAAATACTGTGTATTGGGTAAGTTTGGAGCACATATGTGCGCCGCTGTAGCAATATTTTTATATTACCACTTACAAGATATTTAATGATTCAGAATTGTTGTTTGAGGATAGGAGGCCAGGAGCCTATATTAATCCCTTTCCACTAGATTTCTGTACTTTCCAATCCCCTTTCGGACGAGCCAGTATATGACGCGGACAACACTTCTTCTGGGAGTCGGTTCCGGGCTTTGATTACTCCTCTCGAGAACCAATACTCTGCGGAGGCTATGTTCATTCTTTGCTTTTGTAGCCTCCTACTTTGTTCTCTGAGGTGTTCTGACCTGAAGTGGCTATGAGGTTTTGATCACGCATGTTTCGTAGCATTATTCACTCCTGGTGGAATCACTGTGTGGGCAATGTTGAGGTAAGAAGGATATTAGGTAACCTAGGGGAGTCGACTGATAGAGTTGTGAACTTTAGTCAATTGAGATGGCTTGAACACGTACTGCGTATGCCAAGCCACCACCTACCTTGATGTTAGGAGAAGTTGGATTAGGTTAGAAGAGTGTTCATAGTGGCCAGACTAAGGCCAGCTGAGGTGAGTTGAAATATCGAAGAGCAGGTATTTAATGAAATATAAAGTAACAGATACTCCTAAGATAGTCCCAAGGGAAAGGTAGCTATCGCTGTGCTTGCGCATTACACTGATAGGTATTTGGATTTGATTTCAACATATGCCTGTCAAAGTAAACTTTTTGAATCGCTTAGTTAATATAGCTAGAATTGAAATCATTTAGTTGGAAAACTGAAATATAGGGTTGAATATATTTCGAGACTTTCACTTGCTGAGTTCATCGAAAAAACTACGAAGCATCACAGAAGGACGAACAGCAATACTAGTGGTAGTTGCAATAGGAATTAGACAGTTGGGAGTTTCTTTAATTTGTCATAGTAAGAAAAAAGATATCAGAAATTTTCCATAGCGTATCTAACAGTGCTGAAGGTAGGGTGGTATCTAAACATAATAACCTACTCGGAGGAAGAAAATAGTTTCAAATATACTATAAACTCATTTCGGGCAAGTTGTCACGTGACAAAATGCGGAAAGCTCATCCTGGTAAGATCGCAGGATGTGTCATGTTAGTGACTATAAAAAGGGTCACCTACTTCTAACAAATAAGATTTAATAGATACGCCAAATAAATAATTACTCGTTCTCAGTAAGTATGCTACCATGTGAATGCTTCAGAGAACGGGTGTACCCAAGGGACATGAAAGATATCTTTTCGATTCTTCTCATTAGTTTGCTTGCTTTATGCTGATCCTAAACATACAAGGGGACTGAGTCATCCTCTGTAGTTATGCCATATATAACATGAGAGAGCGCAAGATTTATCTAACCACTAGTATTGACAGTGCAATACCAACAGCAATACATGCTACAAATATTATACCATGCCTGAACCTTGTAAACCATTGTCTCAATGACAAAGACCAAATCATACACATTCCTGGTTCATCATTTTGTTCCTTTTTTGGTTTTTAAGGATTAAGTTCTCATAAATGATCACTTCAGTCGGTGTTTAGGTATATTTTGCGAGATCTTTACGACCTTCTGTCAAAGCAGACAGTTCATCCTTACCTCAGATTCCCGGTAGGAATATTGCAAGAGGCTGTGTCATGTTTGTCACCTTCACAACCTACTTATTCATCATCTGAAGATTATTTTTATGATTATAACACTGACATTTCTTTGCAAATTCAATGTTAGCTCCAGAGGTATAACAAGTGACAGAGCTATCCATCTTCTTTAGGACCCAGATATCAGAACAGTGGAGCTCGACAGCATCGCACTCTGCAAGGATACACTGAGCACGTATGAAAGCTCTGTTAAAAGTTTGATACATAGGTATAATATTTTCCCTTCTCCCTGGTTGGTCGAGCACTGCAAGGAGCCTCTTAGTGACAGGCAGCCAAATTTTAACAGAGTTTAGCATGGCTTGCTTAGTGAGATAGCGGATATTTTCATCTCTGTGTAACCGTGTAACATCATTGTCTGTAATGCCGGATATGCTAACGGGTGTACCTGTCGACCAACTGATGAGACACTCTAGGAAGTTTTTCTTCTTGTGGAAAAACTGTGTTGTGTCAAGCAGATGACCGCGTATACTTGGAGAAAAGCAAAGGTTTTAGTGATGGATGCGACATTTTTTCATGTTATAAGCTGTCTTAGGAATCTTGCGCAGTGTGACAAAACCAGGGACAGTTCTATACTTTATTGGAGAGTTTCAGTTATATACTTTATGGGAATACAACGTCAGTCCCCTTAAAATTTGCACTTGGCATCCCTCCACACTTTCCTTTTTCCGAAAGTTGATTAATCACATCTGTGGTCAAAGATTATGTAAAATAGCAATGATATTCATACATATCACAACACCTTTTATTGTCCCTACCATCCAACTACAACTATAATTAGATGTGCCATATTGATGTGTTTGACCTACTCTAAGAACTTCATCACAAGGGTTCTGGCAGCGGTTCTGGATGGGTTCAAAAATCGCCTCACTTTCCTCTTTGTAGTTTGAATCAAAAAACCTCTTGAAACAATACTTTTTAACGAATGTCTGGACACAAGGACATAAGTTTCGCACAATTAGCTCATCTTTAAATCATTATCTTTATAATTTCTCTCATATTGATTCACTAAATCTGGGCACTCAGTCTTCATAATGAATCATTTAAAAAGCGTCCAAAGGAAGACAGACAGAATAAGCCTCAGATTTGGGAACAGAAAAGGTAGGTCTTTTTGACATTCTAATTGATGGGATACGTTTTTGAGTCTCGTGTTATAAACAGTGCCCAATCCATGTATAGTTCGGAGCGTGCTTTCAGAAGGCCAGGGATTATGTTCCATAAACGCAGATCGCTATCAAGGCGTGCAAAGGTGAGAGAAATTAAACACTGAGTAGGAATGCTACTAATTTGGTTCGCATCACCAAAGGGTGATCTGGCTGGTAAGTTGTGGATCGATAAAGTTTGGGCTGAATCAGGTCTGACCATTGTTCTGCAACTTCTGCACCTAGAAGGACGGATAGCTGCTACCTTGACATAGTGTTCGGGCTTGAATATTACAACCACACAACGAGCCACTCTGGTGCAACACTTGTTCCCTTCAGGTCCTGTCATGCGAGATAGGTCACCTGGATAGTGGTAAGACAAAAAGCAGCTAATGTTGTGGTGTAAATCACTACCCTATGATGGGGGTCCAAGGACGAAGTCGTACTGTTGGTATAACGGGGTGAGACAGCAGTATGTGTTTCCTACGGATGACAAGCAGTACCATGCTGATGCTGCTTTCTCTATACGAGTAGAAGGTATTGATTTAACATTAAAGCTTTCGATGTTCGAGCCCTATCCCGAATCGGAGAGTAAATGTTTCTTGCCAAAACTGGGATCTCGAGTTATGGGTGCATGCTGTGAATCCGCGAAATTCACTTTACGAGTATGTTGCTATTCAATAACTAGTTCTCGTTGACTTGATGCGGAAATATCATTAGTTTCTCGAGCAAAGAGCACACATCTCAACTGGCCACCAGTCAACAGCCGTCTCTGTGCTATCTGACTGAATAGGTCTAAGAACTAGAAAGGATCATGAGATTTGCTGATGGCTACTCGTAATCCCTGCTGACTGCAGTTCGTGAGATACAATGTATGAATTCTATCAAAAGCTGTCGAATAAAGCAAAGCGTTCAGATATATTCATAATAGCAGATGACTTTAACACTCAAGTAGGGAAACAGCCAATCGCCAAGATATCTCCGAGTAATCTACGGAATCTCACGCCAACGGACTGATATTGGTGATTGTCTTTTGCAATTTTACTCTTGTAACCACTTGTTTCTGATGAAGATTAGATCCAAGCATAAGAAGGAACATCGTATCATTTAGAGTTCATCGAGATCAAGCCAATAATGCACACATCATATTCCTATAAGCCATCATTGGAGAAGACCAGTGAAAGACTACCACCCTTTCTGGAGTACTGGTTTGGACTGTGATCATGTGTCAGTATAGGTATGTATATGTCTGCGCCTTACAGGCGGCATGAAGCCTGTGTATGCTTGATTGGAAGACAGGTAAGCATTTATCGGAACACAGCCTGGAGTTATTCTCAATGTCCTGTAGAAGCAGCTGTAAAGACAGTTGGTAAGCTACATCCAGAAGTTAGCGAAAGCCAGTCGATTTGTAC